GCTCCCCGCCTGCTCCCCCCGACGGGCGCCGCTCTGCTCCCCCCGCTGCTCCCCCCGCTCCGCGCCCCGGCGGCCGGCTCCCGGCGGGCAAAGGGCTTCTCAAAGGCATAATAAGCCCGCCGCCATTGCCCCGGCCGGCTCACGGGCCCCGCGGGAGAGAAGCCACTGTTAAGGTTAAACTGTTAGAGCAGCGCAGCAGTATCATGCTGAGGTCGAGAAAGATGTTCTTTGTCAAAGCCGAAGGCCACCCGAGTCAGCAGGACAAGCTGATAGCCAAGGGCCATTTAGACCCCGAAGAGGGTGCAGCGCCAGCCTGGCAAGCAGGCCCGCGGTCTGTGGATTCGCCGCTGAACTACCCTCGGTCTAATACTAAAAATCACCCCTAGTGCTCAAAAAAGCCCTTGCCCAGGTGCAGACCCTACCCGTGAGCATACACAGCAGTAGAAGTATAGTCAGCGGTATTTTAATTGCATTGTAATTGTAAATTAACTGTTGTAATTTACATATTAAATGTAAAAAGGGCTTGTAGTGCTCAGACACAGGAGGCGGTTTAAGTTGTTTCCTCTGCTGTCTTAGTGAAGTCCTTAAACAGCTCATCCACTGCAATGTTCACAGGCTACCAGCCCAGGGCCCAAGCTGGAAGAGTTTCTTCTGATTCTCATGTCTTTCTCTTGGTGTTACAGAATCCCAGAATCATTCAGGTTGGAAAAGCCCCTCGGGATCATCGAGTCCAACCCTCAGCCCGACTCTACAAAGTTCTCCCCTACCCCACATCCCCCCACAGCTCATCCAAACGGCCCTTAAACACACCCAGGGATGGGGACTCCACCCCTCCCTGGGCAGCCTGTTCCACTCTCTGACCACTCTTGCTGGGAACAATTTTTTCCTACTGTCCCATCCATCCACACATCTGTGACATGGCAATAAAACTTGTTGTACCTTTGCCTTAAACAAACAAACAATCTCAAGGCATTGGAGAGAAGCTCAGGGCATGGGAGGTGCGCGCACCTCACCCAGCTGGACTCAAAACCAGTGGTCTCAAAACCACGGTAACAAGACATAGCAGCAATAATGAGGACAAGGAGTTGAGAGCCTCACAACTCTGGATATTCTCAAAAGACACAGAAATAGTAGCTTTACATTTGCTTACATTTATTGCATTCTCTAAGGAATATTAAACAAATAACCAAAGAGAGGATGAACTTGGAGAACAACAATCTCTGCAAGCTTTGTGTATAGATACAGTGCAAAAAATCCCGCTGATGTGGCTTGATTTGTGGGAAACCACCAAGCACCTAGACTTGCACAACCCTAAAATAAATAAGCAATGTCTCAGTGTCTCTCCTGAGTGTGTGATTATTGACCTACTGCAGACCAGGCGATGAATCCGCTTCTCAGACACCACCACCACGGCTATGCCCAAGGGAAACAGCAAGCGGCTAAATCAGGAGGTTGAGCTCACCTGCCACTGATAAAGAGAAATGATTACTGGTTTTGAGACTTATTTACTTACTTACAGAAAACTGCTTAACAACTTATTTACTTACTTATAGCAAGTTATGGTATTACTTATAGTATTTTTAAATACTGCTAAGAATCCTACTTGCCCAGACTATTCTGTGGAATTTTACCAAGGACTGCTATGTTCATAAAACAAAGCAGTTCACTGTGAAAATCTACCAAGAACTATAATGTTCAGCAAAATATTATGGTTTTGTCCTTGGGGAACAGGTGTGCTCTAACTAGTTGGAGTCTTGGTAATGAGTAAAGATAGGGATGGTAGAAGTTCTATTGGTTCTCTAAGATAGATAAGATAGAAGGAGTAAACTGGCTGAAAAATGCTCTTGTTATTCAAGAAACTGGCCAAAGGAATCTGAGCGAGCTCCAGGGAAAAACAAGGTGAGAAAGACTACGAGCCTTCCTCCCAGAAGTCCCCAGAGATGCCCCCCAGGAGGCAAAAGGCCAGTGCAAAGAACAACTGCTGACACCAGCCTCTAGAACTAACCCAGCCTCACTCATGCATATGGATATGTGTGTTATGTAACCCAATGAATACTGATATCCACACTCTGTGAGCTTCTGGTAAAATGTGCGATGGGTGTGCAAGCCTTGTGGGGAGATCCCCTTTCACCCCAGTGCCGGAGTAAACTTACCTGCTGTGTAACTCTATTCAAGTTGTAGAGTCTTTTTTCCACGAATCACCATGTCCGCTTCCACCTCAACAGAAACAGAAACAACCCGGGGAAGTCCTATTGGGGTGGGAAAGGGCCCTGGCCCTTGGCCCTGGCTGGTGACAAGAGTTGGAGGCCAGAGGGGAACTGGCACGGGCCAGGGCCCAGACCACACAATGGTGGGAAGTGTGAGTCAGCATCCCAGGCGGGGCCGCCATCGCGGTGCCTCAGGAAGCGTGAGGAGAGGAAACACTGGAACCATTCACACTGGATACCTGCTTATTTATATATTTAAAAAGGGACCAGAAATAGCCATCACTGTCCCTCAGAGAGTGTGATGGAAGATATCTCTTCACTAGGAGGGCCAGTTGCAAAGAAGTCAACGCTTGAATTTGTCTACAAAAAAACCTCTCAGCACCTCTTTGGCAGCTCCTCCTGCTTTTCAGGAGTATATTTAATATTGCTTTTATACAAAATGTGGTATTACATATTCTGGAGAAGTGAGGCCTGCTAGGGGACTGAAGAACATGCCATGACATCTGGTGCACGGGACCGGAGCGTGCCGGGACAGGAGGGTGTTGCAAGGTTGCACGTCCCACCGAGAGCAGCTGCAGCTGAAACCCCCTCAGCCACTGCTGAGCCCTAGAGGGTGACCCAAGGCCCGGGTCTGACCGCTGAGCATGTGCTCCCCAGGGCTTGATTTAAGCCTTCCTCAGAAATAGCTTTTTCTTTAAATACTTCAGCTGGCAATTAGAAGGAAGATCTGTACTGCGCCTGCCTGCAGCCTCCTACCCTGCCTGCCCATAGGTATGGCTCGGAGGAGCTGTTCGTGGCTGTCTTTGCATGAGCTGTCACTACAAAAGCAAGCAGAGCAGCCAGATGAGGGAGAAGTGAATGGGGATGGAAAGGGGGAAAAAACCACAAAACATCACATCCAGACCGACATAAACAGCCATCAGTGAAAGCTATTTTTTGAACATTTTGCTCAGCCCATTGTCTTGTGGTGAAAGTCTGGACGGCCTCAGGGCAGAGATGTTTATCTGCTTTCACATGCTGCACCTCAAAGAGCAGGAAATGACACAGCAGCGCTGAAATCATGTCCTCCACGTTTCCCCTGTGTGTGGGTCCAGCTCCCGCATGGGATCCACAGGAGCCTGGCACCTCCATGGAGAAGGTCCCTCTCCTCCCCGTGGGAGAAGCTCAGCCTCTGGAGGTGTCCAGGCCCCACAGGGAGCCCCGATCCATCCCCACCAACTCCAGGTTACCAGCACCCAGCTGGGAGATCTCCTCGTGGTACAGAACCACCTGAGCAGGGCATCGGGCTTTGCTAATTAACTCCAGGGCAGAAGCAGCAATTTTTAGCGTGGATGCTTCAGCCAAGGAAGTAATAACCACCGCACGATGGCATTGTCTGCTGCAGCATGGCACAGAGCCCCATCCACCTCAGGAAACTCCACAGGAGCCTTCCCCGGGAGCAGCCCTGGTGTGGGGCCCTTGGGGCAAGCGGGACCCTTTCAAAGGGCAGGAAAAGCCTTGTGGCTCCTGTCACCTTTGGGCTGGCTAGGGGCCTTGGTGGCAGGCCAGGAGCTGGGGGCGCTTGGGGTGGGTTTGCTCTTTATCAGCCATCCGGTGCGTGTCCGGGGAAGCGGCGCATTCCTTGCCGAGGGGGGTCCTTCCTCTCAGCGGATGCCTGTCGGTGGGGGCCGGCTGCACCACTGCCCTGCGCCCCTCCCAGACAGAGCCTTGGCTCAAGCACTTACCAGTGCTCCCCCATCCCCTCAGTCACAGCTCTGGGGGTCCTCGGGGGTGGGGGGGTGGGGGGGGGTCCTGCTGCCACACTACTGGCCCAAAGAGGTAGAACCTGCAGTGCTCTGGTGGTGGGGCTGGATGTGAGAGACACCCCCAGGGAGGTCCCTGGACTGTGGTCTGGCTCAGGGAGAAGGGGCACCAGCCCATCAGGTCCTGCAGCAGGCAGTTTGTTTCAGCTGGGCACATAGCTGTGATCAGGACCGTCTTCCATCCCAAGACCTGGTCTGAGATCGGGTCTGTCCTGGGGGGTATTTGTTCACCAGACAGCATCCTGAATCCCAGACACGCCTCATTTCTGCTTTCTTCAGTTCTACCCATGCCTCATCAAGTTGATCCAAGGAATCATGGCCCGGCGCAGGGATCTCCCTTATCCTTACCTCCAGAAACCCTTTTTTTTAACTATCCCAAGCCAACACTGAAATGCTAATGGCCAGCACCTGTAGCCTGCTGCTCTTTTAGGGGGTGAGACAGCTGCAGTGACCCTGAAAAATACACCCCACAGCCAGTACAGCTAATTGGGAGTCCAAGGAGCTCTTGCACCAGATACTGGGGCAGGTGTGATACTCCTAGAAAAAAAGTTTGGGTAAGGCAAAAGCATGTTTCCCTGGGATCAAGCTGCTGAAGGAGTGAGTCACTAGTGGAGTTATAGCTGAAATCCAGAGGGATTGTGGAGGCTCTGGGCAAAAGCAGAGGAGAAGGAGATACCCTGTTCCTGCAACATGGGGTACAGAAAAGCCGGGGTGGCAGAGGGAAGGGCTCTGGTGACTCCCTGGTCCCTCAGCTGAGCCAGCAAAGCTTGAAAAGGGTTAAGAGCTTGAGCAAAGAAATGTGTGTCTGGGTTTGTTTCCCTGCTCAGCCCTTGTTTATTGTGCTAGTTCAGGTAAAGGCTTGTTGTTGTTGGAAGCCTTGCAGGTTCCTGAGGCTGTTTGCTGCTGCTCATGTGTCCCTGGGCAGTCAGGGAGTTTGGCCC